CTGCTTGGTATCATTCGCACATTTAATAAGTATATATTATATTCCGTCATCTGAGTCATGAGTGAAAATACTGCATAGTCACTTCGTTCCTCTCTTCATCTAACCTGATGGATATTTAAGTGTGTCATGCAAAATGGATCAGAATCTGGAAGAGACCCACCCCAGATCCTATAGCCAAGCAGCTGCAGTTCTTTTGTGATACATAGATTCACGTCCCTCTGAAAAGAAAGGGTTTGAAAGAAGATGAGTACCTCACAGGTGACTGCTGTGCCTGCTACGGACTAAATGTTGTAGGCCAGTGTATTTTCCATCAACTGAAGAGGTCTCTCTCTTCAGGTTTTTAAAGCGTGGAAGTACCGAACTCAGCCAGAGGTTTCAGTCTTGTAAACCTCATCCTGAGAGAGCCTGTGAGGCAGGAGAGGGGACTTGCAAACTAAAGAGTATAGGTGACCTACCCTTCAGCATATTGTCCATCATCTTATAGGTACTTCGCTTATATGTTGTGATGTGGAGCCCTAACGTGGACGTTTTGAACTACTCTGTGCAGAGAACAGGTCCTTCTGTGACTCTGCTCCTAAACGTTTTACGGCCACGTTTTCTTTCCCACCAGCTTGCACAGTGAATGGGCTAGGGGATGCTCAGTATCTGCTCTCTCTGTAGTTGGGCACCATGAACATATTGTGCAGCTGAGCGCGAGTTCTTCTGTAAATGCAGGTGGTGAAAGTGGCAAAGTGCATTCATTAGCTGAACTAATAATGATTCTGTCTGAATAAACAAAGTAATTATTCTGTTTGATCTGTGACCGTAATGTTACAGCTCTGTGGACATTTCTTGTTCTTTCTCTCATATACTCAAAGCGGGCATGTTTTTAAATAATTTATCATATGCCTGCTGTATAGAAAAAAACCCCCTTGTTATCCAGCTGAAGGTTGGAAAAACTCCATTAAAATAAACTGAGACAAAATGATACAGAAGTGTATATAAAAATTAAAACCAATTTAAATTTGCCATGCTGACTTCGGTGAAAGACCAGTTAGGGACATCTGTAAATAAACCTTTCATCCTAAAAAGTTTCCTTTCCTTTTGCCAGGATCCCAACAGTTTGGAAAGAGGCAAAATATTTTTAAGCAGGCGTTTACTTCCTAGCAGATGGCTACAGCCACTGTTTCCATAGGTGGAGGCCTTAAAGGACAGATTTGACAAATTTAGGGATAAATGTAGGGAGTTGCTCTTTGAGATCCGTTGCAATCTTATAAATTTTTGATTCCACAATTACTACGAAGCAAATGCTCAATTTAGTGATTCTTAATGCTTTAGACATAAATAGTTATTATGTCTAGTATTTTTAAATCAATAAATAATAAGACTGGATCTAGAAGGATTGTTTGGTTAAAATTACTTACCATAGCTCATCATTTGTATAGTAATGAGCCTTTACCTTTCTCAGGAAGCTGCGCTTCTGATGCTGCTCACGTTTATACTTGTTCTATATTCGTTTAACTCTGATAGTTTCAGAGAAGCTATTCTAGATTCACAGGTGCCCAGATTTGTTCATTGATTATGGAAGAAGAAATGTTCAGCCTTACAATTGCAGTAAATAGTGGGGGGGAAGAAGAGTGTGAACTGTCATAATCAACCTTGACTACTGAGACTCTTACATTTCTTTTTCCTATCAAAATGAGTACATTTGGATAAATGGTAATGTAATACGAATAGAAAAATTACCTCAAGATTTCCAGGAACAGAAATTAGGACCTTATTCACAAATAAATTATGCCTTTTGTAACTTCAAATGTCATGTACTGCAAGTTGAACAGAAAAACTGTCCTTTGGAGCCCTCCTTCTCTGTAACTAATATGATTGATATTCATCATCAAGGATTTTTGGGTTCAAATAAAATGCATATCCATTATGTAGTCAGACCTGCAAGTTGACTAGCCGAATATATTCTGGAGAATAAAAAATAGGGAGAAAAAGCTGCAGTAGTGACTATCTGTTTTAAAAGGAAATGATATTTGAAAAGAGGAATCACTTAAAGTAGACTGACCCGTGAATACTTTGTGATTTCTTTTTTTGGCATGAAATTCAGATTAAGTGAAACTGGAAAGGTTTCTTCTGGAAGTTTTAGTGGGGGGGGTGGTGCAGGGGGATTGCCTGGCTTTCATGCCTGCAGCAGGTCTTTTCCATTTCGATCTCATATGCTTCTTATCATACCAAAGTGTGTTCTTAATATAGCAGTAAGTGTTATTGTTATTCTTAACGTCTTTGAAAAATAATTAAACACTACTGTTCTTTTGTACTAAAGTCCTCCCCGCTGTTAAAAAGAGATTTGAAGGTCTCATGTAATTTACTGCATTACTGTGTAGTTATTATATTTCTGCAGCGAAGTGTAGTAGATCGTAGTTAAGTACAGAGCACTGTACTAAGTTACTTATTCCATACTGTATTTTGAGAAGCTCATCAAAGCCAGCTGCTAGCAGCTTTGTTCCAACATCGTTATTGCTTTGCAGGCTGATGTTCCTCAGGGAGTGATACGGGTGCAAGCGCCTCATCTTTCGAAAGTTTCCATGGCAATACAGCTGACAGAAGAACTGAAAGCCGGTGATATAGTAGCCAGGTTTCTCAGCCAGAAAAGGTACAAGCACATTTTTGTTTTGTTATCATTTTGGGAGAGGTGGCTTTATATATATTATATCAAGAAAAAAAGTTTTAAAATACTTTTAAGTCCAGGTGAGTTCATGAACTTTTCGGCCGAATTTAGCCATTAAAATACATGCTTGAGGAATTAACTTAATGCTCCTAATGTCATTAAAGCTCATGAAGCCTTCTGGAATACATGAGTGCCGTTAGTAAATAATTAACTGCTATTTAATCTGATGGGTTAGGAATAGTTTTGTAACTTTCTGGGGACAAGACAGAAAGGAACTCCAAGAAAATAAGTCAAGGAAACAAAGGAATGAGGAAAAGAGAAAGAAAATATTTTGTAAAAAAATGCATTTATATATAGCAACAGTATAGGTATTGGGATATAAATACGTGCAAATGTCGTGCATGTGCAGTGATTTAAAAGGAAAGCTACATTTGAGTCATCCAAATCCATTTAGAAAGGGAGAAGTTTTAATCAAGCTTTTACATCTATTTTTTACATATATAAGCAAAGTAAGAAATCAGAATAGACTTAGCAAAAAAAAATACTTAATATATGCATCATATATAACTATTCATGCTAAAGCAATAATATGGTACACTAGTTGAGATTAAGAAGCTGCTTTTTGCTAAATGCTGTTTTTAGAGGTTTACACTTTCGACAGAAAGTTATTTTCTGGCTGTGCCTTAGCATATATTATTACAATTAAGCAGCGAGAATAATAGAATCCCTTTGTAATACGGGGACTTTATTCTTCCACTGTCTGTTTTTTACTTCTTTTAGTTGCAGCAAAATTAAAACCAGTAAGAATGTGGTTTCTCCCACCCAAAGCTTTTTTCAGAAATATGAAGTGTTTGAGGGGAATACTTATTTTTGCAGCAGCAGCAGTGAAACAAAAATCAGAGGGTAAATATCAGGCTACTTGGTAATAACAATGGAATTCTTTTCTAAACCCCACAGTTTCTTCACATCTATCTTGTTTTACCTTTTCTATAGAGTATTGCTCACTTGCAGGACTATTCATTTGCACTAGCACACAAGGGTACTCTTGTTCACTTACTGTATCAGTAAACGAGTATAAACACGAGGGGTTTATAACAGGTACACTGCTGATCTTAATTAGCATAATTTCTCCCGGACACATTTAAGTGGCCGATGTGCAAGCTCTTTTGCAATATAGTTATTAATTGTGTTTTGTTCCTGACAGTGGAAATGTCCAAACACTCAAGAAAGAAGAGGTCTTTCTTTATGAAATAGGAGGAAATATTGGTAAGAATGGCTTCTGAACAACTTCTTTTGCTACAATAGGATTCCTTGGCACGTTGTCCATGGGCTTCACCGTGGCTGCATTTTTATTTATGTCCCTAGTTCTCCCTGATGCTAAGGCAGACGGTTAACCTTGGGTAGAAGGAAGCAGAGATGTTGGTGTGATCATCATATTAGTAGTATCTTATTATCTCTCCCAGAGGAAGACCGCAGCTGTAACAGATGTTCCTGATATGTATGTACAGTGAAGAAGCACAGAAAGGTTGGGTAGGAAGGTGCTTGAAGTTCATCTTATTCATCTCTTTATATTGAGGCATAAGAAGTGAACCTACAGTCCTTCATGCTCTGCATTTGAGCGTTGCTTGCAGGTTCCTTTGGGGAAAAAAATGCTCAACCAGAAAGCTGACCTAGTGATAAAATTTTCCAATCGTTAGTCTTTTCTGCTGTGCGTTTTCCAGACCCTCTTGATTAAAGCAAATAGCAGATCAGCAAGGTTAATGCCAAAGGACAATTTTGAACACAATTCTGACATTTTCTTTGACGAATGCAGAAGTATTTTTGCATTGGGAATCTGGTTTTGATCCCAGTATTTTTCATATGCTCAGAAAAAAAAAAAAAGAGAACTAGAAAACAGTATTGGGTTGGTCTTACATTTACTTTTTTCTTATTAACTGTGACCTGTTAAACTTTATTTGAAGTTATAAAATTCCATGAATAAGCAGTACTTCTGTACTCTGCAAGTTTAAATCCTGTATGTAAATTGCTACTTCTAGCATTTTTCCTTTTTACCTAATCACTATTTTAAATCAATTTTACAACAGATATGTTTTAGTGTTTTTACTAAGTCTGATGGCAAAAAAAAAGAAGTTACTAAAAGATAGCTGGATGCCAGATTAATGTATTATATGTTCTTTTGCATATCCAGTATGTACATACATTCGCTATACCTGCTAAAGCAGGTTGTGATCTCAGATGTAAGACTTTTCTAAAGGAGAGGAATGTCTTGTTTATTGTACAGAGGTGTAATCATTGTAGAAAAGTTTTTGTAACAGAATTCCAGTGAAACTGGAACAACCGACTATCACTTTACACATGTGACAGAAATTTTATGTCTCTTAGAGAAAATACATGGCTAGTTGCAGATTTAGAATCATAGAACGGTTTGGGTTGGAAGGGACGTTAAAGATCATCTGGTTCCAATCCTCCTGCCATGGGCAGGGACACCTTTCACTAGACCAGGTTGCTCAAAGCCCCACCCAACCTGGCCTTGAACACTTCCAGGGATGGGGCATCCACAACTTCTCTGGGCAACCTGTTCGAGTGCCTCACCACCCTCAGAGTGAAGAATTTCTTCCTGATATCTAATCTAAATCTACCCTCTTCAGTTTAAAGCCATTACCCCTTGTCCTATCACTACATGCCCTTGTAAAAAGTCCCTCTCCAGCTCTCTCGTAGGCCCCCTTCAGGTACTGAAAGGCTGCTATAAGGTCTCCCTGCAGCCTTCTCTTCTCCAGGCTGAGCAACCCCAGCTCTCTCAGCCTGTTTTCATAGGAGAGGTGCTCCAGCCCTGTGATCATCTTTGTGGCCCTCCTCTGGACTTGCTCCAACAGGTCCATGTCCTTCTTATGTTGGGGGCCCCAGAGCTGAGGCTGGCTTTTTGGGCTGCAAGTGCACATTGCCAGGTCACGTCCAGCTTTTCATCCACTGGTACCCCCAAGTCCTTCTCCTCAGGGCTGCTCTCAATCCATTCCATTTGTTTTGCCTTGTTTTGTTCTGTTATGAAATAGGATAGAAAGCTTAGATGTTTCCTTTGTCTGAATAGTTTACTTGCAGACAATTTCAACTTTAATCAGCCCTCACAAATACTAGTCCTTATTAATACTCTCAGTTGAGATAAGGGAAACTCCCTGACTTTAACCTGCTGTACAGGTTTACGTAAACCAGCTGTCTTGATCTTTGCCATTTCGCTCTGTCTGCCTGATGTGACTTACTCATGTAGAGGGAACCCAAAAGCGAGAAGACTTGACAGGCTTGTGATACACTCATATGCTTACACTTGTGCTCCTAGCTGTAACATGTGCAATGCTGCGATCCTGTCCCCTCGCAGATGGAGCTGCTGACGTCTCTAGGTGTTTTTGAGTACTCAATACACTACAGGGCTTCAGGGCACTGAACAGGACTTCTGCCATTGCTTTGGGACTGGGACTGGGTAGGGACATGGCAAGCCACTGTCCCTGTGCTCTCACTGCCTGAACACTGATCATAGAATCATTAAGGTTGGAAAAGACCCTTAAGATCATCACTGTGTAGGGGAGAGGGCCTGGTTCAGAAGCGTGGTGGTACAGGTCATGTAGGTTGGGATAAAAATCCTAAAGGGAAGACAGGCTGCCAGCTGGCAAGGAAAGCGGATGGAGAGGGAGCAGATGGAGACCGAACCTGGTTGAGGAGGGAGTCTCGCCGCCTTGCCTGCCCTGCACAGGGAGTCCGAAGAGCTGGCAGACAAACCCAGCTGCAGCATCGCACCTCTGCTTGCCTCCTGCTTCAGGAGCATGTGTGCTGGAAACATCTGGCTGGCACACGAGCCATCTACCCCAACCACTTGCACAGTGGAGTGGGAGAGGGGCTGTGATGTAGAGCTGCAAATGCATGAGATAATGCTTTGCCTGTGAGGGAAGGGGAAGAGTACGCAGATCTTGATGGATCAGCATATGCTATTTTCATCATAGCTACTAGACATAAATTAATTGCTTGTAACGCACCAAGAACACTGTACTACTTTTCCCTCCTAGGACAGTAACCTTTACAAGTGCTATGCAGAGCTGCTGACCAAGAGGAGCAAGATAGGAAGTAATGGCTTCTTAGCAAGAACAAACTTTGCTCAAACTTTCCATTTAAGAAGGGGAAAATAACCTGAAATTTTAATGGGTTTTTATGCAAATGTGCACCTAGTGTTTGGATTTAACCACAAGAGGACCAGGGCCTTGCTTCTTTTTTCCTAAACCTTCACAGAGAGGAGCTCCCATGTGCGCGGTCTGTGTAAAGAATCTGACCTAGAACATGCCACAGAGGTGGCACAGCCCCTTCCCTCCTTTCTTCTTCCTCTGTCCCCTTCCTCCCCAAGACAGATGGGAAGGGTAGAGCACATCTAGGTTTTAGCTGCGTTGTCCTTTGTTTAATACCACAGAGAAGGCTTGAAAACCTAAATGGAATAAAACAGTGACAGGAACTTTGAAAATTGTTTCCTTTCTTTTTTGGTACTGATGTAGCCACACATCTCTTCTGTTTCTAGGAGAACGCTGCCTTGATGATGATACCTACATGAAGGACCTATACCAGCTCAACCCAAATGCCGAGTGGGTTATAAAATCTAAGCAGAGCTAAGCTCACAACTAATGGCAAAAGAACAACCTGTGGACTTACTTTGTAAGGCTGATGTTTCAAAGGGATAGTGTGTCCTTTCAACATTCAACTGTGTTATATATGTTAATAGAACCTTATCCAGTTTAAAAAAAAAAGTGATGGAAACCCAACAGTGATTACCAGTAAATTTTCAGTTTTACTTGCAGCAAAATTTTGGAGATAGCACAGTTTTCCCACTCATATTTGAAATGAGAATAAGTACCTTAAATATTTTAATGGCACTAATCTACCTCCCATCTGGTAGGTCTTGTTTCAGAAGAATTTATTTTTCAAACAGATGTTTAACCTCTTTATATTAGAGATCTACAATCTGTTTGTGTAGAATTGTGTGTTCATATAGGTCTTTACAGTTCTAGTACACTGGAGAACCAAATCCTGATGAGCACTTCTAAATGGTACAGTATTAGAAATACCTAAAACCAGTCATATGAATTTCCCAAGTAAGTGTGAAATTCACAGGAAAAAACTGCAATGCAATATATTTTGTCTTTGGAAGTCTTAATTTTGTTCACTTTCTAGGTAAGGTTTGATGAAAACTATTTAAAAACAACTGTGAAAATGCTTTCTATGCAGCTTTTTTGCTAGATCTTTTAAATATTTTTTATTCTTATTCCAGTTGATTGTATTCTTGGGATTATTTAAAAAAAAAAAAAAAGAAAAAAAGAAAGGACCATATGACAAGGTGAGCCATTTTTAAAGCTCACCACTCTTGGCAGTGTCCTTACTGGAATATTGTCATGCACTAGAAGACCTTCACGTTTTTCAGCAATGATATGCAGCCATGTTACATACACTGGTTTCAGTTTTTTTGGACATCTGATAGATTGCATTTTGTGAACTGCCAAAACCTGCCAATTACTAGCATAATAAAAAGTTTCAGGAAGAATAAAATAACTGTGGAGGGAAACTGTAGTCTAAATTTCATAGGTAGCAAACCACCACACCTTTCACTCAAAATCAGTGTAAAGGTCTACTGTGGAGTTCACATAGGCTTTTTGGGTATTATCTATGATCAGCTTTATGCCTGGTCTATCCTGGACAAGGCTAGAAATCGAGTTCTGATTTCCCTTACGCTGATAGATGCTGTCTAAACCACTTCAAAAATTAATAGTCGAACAGTGAACTGTTGCAAATCCTTCTCTTTGCAGGGAAGGACTGAAAGCTCCCCGTGGAATTCCCTGATAACGAATTATAGACTGACGTGGCTTGTTGCAGCACAAAGAGCTGTGGTCTGCAGCTCTAGAGCCCCAGTCCCACAGCAACGCTTTGGGCTTACTAACTTGTGTACCGCTTTACAATTTATTTGTAAACTAGCTCAGCTGTGCTTAAGTGCTCACACCTGCATGCTGACTACCTGAAGTAACCACTGTGAAATTATATTCTTGGAATGAAATGTTTTCTTTCAGTGCACACACACAATTATATTGACCTCATAGGGAATATTCTACCTACAATCAAGGACTGAATTCCATTTTTTTTACGTGATCAAAGCTGATTAAAGGAATAAAGGGCCTGTCTGCTGAGCTTTGGATACAGGCCCTGACCGTGTTGTTCCCAAAGTAACCACTGGCATTCTCCCTTTTATATATAAGCATTGAAACAGAACTCTGAAAAGTCATAGAAAAATTAGACATCTACTGATTAGTTATCCACAACATACGAACAATTTTGGGGGTGTAAGTATTTCTTGTTTTTTAAAATCAAAGGCTGTCTTCATATGGAAAGGAAGCACTGAAGAATTCTCAAAAGCAGGATGAATAAAATAGGAAACTGTTCTAATGTGACAGTCCTGCCCTCGATGCTCCATCTCGCGGGGTACCCCTGTGTGGTAAAGCACTGTGCCACTATGGGCGAACCCTGTAAGACAAATCACTTTTGTCAATAGAACAAACCACACTCCCAGTTCTTTAGGTGTAAGGAGTAGAGTAGAAAACCAGCACAATACTTAGGTAAATATTTATGAATCTAATGTAATAAATATAAGGGGTTTTTTGTCATGTAATACAAAAATGATGTGTGTTTTCGTAATACATTGTAGTTGTGTGAAAGATTATTTGTGACTGGAACTCTAGATGTTATTTTAATCAGGAGCAAAGTGCAGATGATAGGAACAGCTGTACAGTTTCAGTATAAAATTACAACTGCCCTGTGGCTATGATCCCTTAAATAACTTTGTTTCTGGTTTAGTGCCATTATCTTTTTTAATATAAAAACCTCTTTTTTAATTAAATGTGTTTTTTTCTGACTTCTTTTCTCAGATGAATTCTTATATTTGTATGTAAAACATGCACAATTGAAACTAAGCAGTGATTATTTTTTAATTTCACACTTTATATCTTTGTAGGTAGTTTGTAGTTTTGTGTATGAGAAGAGACATTGGTAAGTTAGAAAGAGTCTTGCAACATGAATGCCTGCTGGAAAAGGAAATATTGGCTAGAAGTTTAAAACTTCGCTGCAATCACAGTGCACCTTAGCTAAATCCGTACTATTAACACTTACTGGGTATATGCGAGGGAACAGCAGCCCTCGGCATTTATTGAAAATACTGGCTCTTAATTCCTCATAATTAAAGAATTAAATTAGGGCACAAGGGAGAAGTCCAAAATGCATTCAGGTAAGCTGATAAGAATCTTTGATAATTAAGAAGACAATGCTGCTTGGGTTGCTTATTCAGGGCAATTTGGCAGCTGATCCTTGTTTGACTGATGACTTGGGAAACACATCGCAGGTTTTTTTTCACCCCACTGACACATTAATTGATTTAACACTTAGTGTGCATCCCCACTGCTCTCCCTGCGCTGCAGGACTGGGATGGGGGAAAGGAAGGATTGGGGAAGCAGGCGGTAGCCCCTTGTACAGCTGCCTGGATGTTGTGGAGCATCTAAGGATGGTTTTGTGCTCAAAAATCATCCTCCAATGTATATTTGGGGGGGGAGGGTGGGCGTATGAGAGGGTCTGCAATGCTTGTGTGGGGTGTTGACACCTTTCTCACACTGCCTGTCCTCTTTAAAGACCAAAGAGTTTGCAGTCATTTTCCATAGCCTCCTGTACTTCCCAGCCTTGCGTGAAGCGCACGTGCTATCCCTGGATATCCACGGGTGCTAAGAAGAAAGCCGTCATCCCAGCCACCTGTTCCCTGCGTGAGCAGCAGTGAGGCAGGCAGCAGCATGGCAGGTTGATCTCGCGTTGCAGGTCAACAAGCAGCGTGTGTGAACGTGCTGGTGAGGTTTCAGGAAGGCGACGGACAGCAGGAAGATGAAAAGGTCTGGATATGTTGGAAGCATTGGCTGGGTTTCCGTTAGGCCTTTCAGTAAGCAGCGGCATGACTGAGATGAATTCAAGGGCTAAGGAGATGCATTTTTATCCGGTGAGCACCGACAGAGGAGGAAGTGTTTGAGAAAGGCCTGCTTGAAACTTTTTCCAGCCCCTTATTTCTTTGTCAGGTATTCTTCTTAAAAGCAATGGAACTGCCCAATAAAATACGCTCTTTCACTAAGTATTGAGTTAAATTGCAGCAGAAAGCTAACTTGGCAAAAGATTTGCTAAATGAGTTATTTCCTCTGTATCACAAATATATCTGAGGGTTAGACCTCTATTGAGCTTCTATGTTTAAAAGGCTGTAGCCATTCAAAAAGAATAAAATACGGGTATGCGCTAATCTTACAGCAATATTTATAATAATTATTTTTTATGTATGTTTAAAGAGCTTCAAACCACTGTTTGTGTTTGCACACAGACCACATCTGAGGCAGGTAAGTACTTGTCATCCCCACTTAACAGATCGGAAAAGTGTTCATAAATGGCTTGCCTGCGTCTGGAAGGGGTGAAATCAATCTGATTTGTAGAAACCAAATATAATCCTCCAAAAATTGTTTTAAAAATCTGCCGTATTGCCAATAACAGAAGTACAGCAATCACAAATCTGACTTCTGGGGACTGTTTTAATAAATACAATGCTGTGGGTTTTAGCCTGGTTTCCAAAGGAAAGGTGCCTGGGGTAATCTCGCTGCCTGTGTGTGTCTTGCCCTAATTACTTTTGAATCTGTTGGCAGACTTCAGTCCTTTTTGGCAAAAGGAGTGGGGGGAGGGGGTGTCACAAAAGTAATTAAGTTTCTACGAGCTTCATCGAACTAGGCAACTGGAAGGGAGACAGAGGCAGTGCGAGCCCTTTGTTCAAAGGGAAGACGACGGCGTAAGCGCAGCCTTTATTTAGGCACCAGAGCAGATGCGGGAGAGAGACCCTACACGTGCTCTGACCGTGGAGGGAGGCTGTGCTTGGAGCTCCCAGCCAGCCATCGGGAATTGGCATTGGGCGTCTGGATGCCTGTGAAAGCATTTGCTTGTGTTGCCTTCTGACTTCTGAACCTTCTTTGCTGCCGTGATGCGGGTGATTCTTGCTGAAGCTGCAGTTGTTCTCCTGGGCTGGCTTTTGTGGCACAGCTTCTCCGCGACATCTGGTTAGTAGGGCTCATCCCCATCCCCTCCCGATGGAGTGAGCCGCCTCCCGGCCGAGCTGCACCTGCAGTTAGTGGCGTTCACACAGGTGAGGAGGCGGGTTGCGGTACCTCTGCTCTCTCCGCTGGTAGGGCTGTTGGGAATCACCTTCATCCTGGACAAAGATCAGATCTAAAATCGGTCCGTTTCAAAGGACAGCCTTCACATGCAGCTTTTACACTGTAGTGGGAATGTAACTTGCCATTCAGATCCTCCGTTTTGAATTGCACAGAGGTGGCGCCGATGTCGCCACTCCTTGATTAGTCCCTTTGGGGATAATTGAAAGGATCCTTCATTCTTCCTGTGGCACTGTAAAACCAACAGGTAATGCTTGTTCACACTGAGCGCCAGAGTCTCCGTATTTTACCTGCCAAATGAGCTTTGCCCTCTGTGTTACTCCTGTGCGTCCGCAATGCATTACTCTTGAAAGTGCCTGGGTTTTGGATTAATTGGCTCGGTTCCCGTGAACAGTCTGATCACATACTACATCCCTAGGTCAGGTCCTGCAGGTCAGGCCGTTCTGTGCTGCTTTCCCATGGGATTTCTTGTGCCCTCTGAGCAGTGAAACTGCCGCCTGGGTGTTTGCTGTCGGGTGTAACGCATCGCCCGTTGGGGAGAAGCGGAGGATCAGTCCTACAGCACGCACGTCTGTGCTTCCTTCCCCGAAAGCCGCCCTCTCTGCGGGAAAAGCCCCTGCAAGCTGCCGCGGGCAGCCAGGCCTC